ATAAGATTTAACAAATCGGTTCTTGAATTATATACAGAAGATAATTGAAATTGTATTATGTACACAATAAATACTTCTGTTCCGATACAATCGTATGAGATACATAGCACAAATCTGACACTTATAAGTGATAATATCTGAGTGAAGTGTATATCTCGTAATGGGACCATCCTGTACGGGCTACATTTATGCTATGTGTACACCAGAAGTCGCGGAGAACCACGTTACGGGCCGGTTTCCTGCGTCGGCTCTGGGGAGGATGAATTTCGCCCGTGACCGGGCCTCTTCTTTCAATTGGCGAATTTAATTCGGCTTTTCAACCGCTCTATCCAAACGTTTAGCCCGGACAAGATTGTTTCGTTCAACGAATTTCATACAAATGTATTTTAGAACGCGTGGATCATGATCATCTTGTATGTATTAGGTTGATGCAAACGTAACTGCGGTCTTCAGTGTAATTAACATATTTAGAAATCGTAATTAGTTTTCAATTAAACTAACACTTCCATGCAATATTTGTGGATTTTAATTATTTTATGTAATTAATCATGAAAAGTGAGGATATGAAGAGTGACAATTCTTAACTTCCTTATTTGAGTCTCTAAATAAAAATTTTAAATACACTTTTGTAGATCTTGTCATTGATATGTTATATGCATGTGTAAAGCTTTATAAAAAATCAGTTAAAGCATAAGAAAGTAATGTCTGAATATTAATGAAAATCATCATCATATTTAATATGATACATTTCATATTTATATGTTCTTCGTTACGTATTTAGCAACTTGCATTTACATCAAATACTAAACTGATAATAAGATGCATTTTATGTACTAATATGACACATTTAATTTTTACATATCCTTCGTCATGCAATTTCCAATAATAATCAACATTTACATTCTATCTTTGATAAAACATGGAGAATTCTACTTTCCAACGTTCCTACGATTACAGCGCCAGTTTTTTTTTTAGTTACCTGCTTAAAAAGTAATCGAGCAATTAGTGTGTTACGACATTACGGCAATAGAAGAGACTTGTTCGGCCACGCTGTTGAAAATCGTAATGAACGATTTCATAATGTTCGCACGTTCTATGTACGATTTACATGATCTAGCAACCATTTGCGTAATAAACTTTTTCTTTCCCTTCGTTGCTGCATGCTAGGAGTGACGTGGATAAAAATGTTTCAGGAAATCGGATCAGAGTTCTCTATTACCTTTCGTTTAAGCAGTTTCATCAATCGTTCATTAGTATTTCCTTATTCATGAGAACTGGATCTACAGGAATAGTTAAAGAAAAGCTATGATTCAGAATTGTAACGTTTCTATGGATTCGACTGGTCGAGTATCGACGTGGTAAAATGAAGTTCATCGGTGAAACGGGGTTAAGCTAAAGCTACATAATCATGCATAACCATATGGTGTTTGCGGCAATGTTTTCCACCGGGAAGGGTTGCGCAGCGATACGTATGGTCCACATGATGGCGAGAACCCCATAGCATCGTGTCTAGGGCGAACAAGAGTGATGCGCAATAGGCAGAGGGGAAGAAGAACTAAAAAGCAGAGATGCTCAAATTCTTGGTCTAACGTAAATATTAGCATCCAACGGAGTCAATGAACTCGACATTATAATTAAACCTTACCATGTATTTCGATTTCATTATATTTTTCTAATTTTTGTTCAGTATATTGATATGAAAACTTAGATTGCTGACTTTTATGTGCATTCGTTTATACAAAGATCTTTGTTATTGAAAATCGGAATGCGTGTTGATAAATGACGATAGGTATTTGAAAAGCGCGCGCTACAGGGCAGGTGTCTGTTAGCTAGAACGTTTGAAAATCAGTTTACGCGGTGCACCTTTGAGTACCGAAGGATCCAAGCACAGCTGCCAAGTGTCCTCAACGCGACCAGGTAGATATTTATTGATTCAATGGTAGCAGTATGCCTATAGTTAGGCACTGTGATGTAACTCTAGAACTGGCCGGAGGGCTGGTTGGCTTGCTAGAACCGATAGGGACGATGGGGTTGAAGGTGGCCTGGTTGATTACGTCAACGAGTCTCTTAACAGGGAATATAAACTTTGATTTCGTTCAAATAATAATAAAGATAGTTAAAATTTATTTTTAGTACGCGTGAACAGTTTAAACTACATACAGTAAGAGAATGTTATTATTCAATAATTATTAATTATTGATTTTCTTGTAAATTCTGTTAGAAATGGATTTTGATTTGTCAAAATACAAGAATACATTCACTCAGTTTTTATTGATTATTTTACAAATTGGATTGAGAATGGAAAAAATTGAATACTATAAACCGTTTCGTAAGAAGTTAATATCACGTTGTACATAAAGTCATACAGTTTAAAGGACAGGAAAGTAGCATCGGATTGAATTTTTTATAGTTTCATTTTCCTTGTTAGTTCAATATTAAACCACAGAGAATAGCTGGGTCCATCCGAAGTAGAATTTTCTGGGTCACCGGTAGCACATGTGCTTACAATAGTTTGTTTCAACCGTGACGCTCCTTATTCGCCGACCACGAGTTTTCCCCTATCAAACGTCTCGCAGGACTGGTTTACGGTCACCCTAATAAGAATTTTCGGTCCTCGCAACAACCGTTCCATACTTTATGAAACGAACTACGGTTATTTCTCCAACTTTCTACCGATCATTCTTTTTACGACGATTATAAAACGCGAACAAAGAAGCTGTTCGACGAAATTGCATTTTCCTTGGTTCGTTACGCCAACATTTTTTCCCTCGCGAGTAACGTGGTGTTAAGTTGAACATCGATACCTTACTCCCATAGATGTAAGTAGACTGCGGATGTATTTATAGAAAAATTAGATGTTCAGATAAAATACAGACTGCATGTAATATGCAAAATTGAACAGAATATCGAAATTATAATGTTCATCATTATTTTGGAACAGAGAGAGAAGTTTGAATCCATATTTCACTTGTTTAAATTGATATCATAAATGTTTTATTTTGTATAAAATTCCGCGGTCTTGGTATAAAACCGAATGTCCAACTTCTAGTAAGAGAGTAAGTAAGAAAATATGTTTGAAGTGAAGTTTCACCGTCAGTAACATTAGTATTTTTAATGGTAGAATTTGAAAATCGAAGAATACAAATATTCGAAACCAGACGTGATATTATAAGTTTTATTTCCGTTCGCTGAAATTGCATCAGGAAAATATTACTTATTAAGGACTACATAAAAGGGGAACGACGTTACTTATGGATATTGCTAGCTATTTTTTTTCCTACGTCTACGAAGATCCATTCGCGGTAGTGTGTTCCGTGAATAGAGTCGTTTGTAGAGTTTAGAATATGCACTTGCCATAAGTATAACACCATGTTAGTACGTACGATGTATTATATTTATTCAAGACTGAATGTTTCTTTATTTCTTGAATTGAGTTATCTTCAACCAATGAATGTTTGTATTATTATATCAATTACTATACCATTTAATATATCCACTTACGCATCACAATTGACTGATTTAGTCAAAACTGTCCACTCAAAGAATTATTTTGGACATTTAGGAATATTTATAGTTTCTGATAGTAACTTCCATTCTTAATCTATATTTTCAAATAATTTATGTTAGTTTACGTTTGAGATTTGACACGGTCAAATGAAAGATGCCAACAAAATAGATTGCAATAAATATTCTAATTTTTAAAAAATGGACATAGCTACAGCTTTGAGACTATACTACTTAACTATTGCAGTGATCATTCTATGAAACACTGTAACAAGCATTATATTAAGTGTTTTATTTTTTATAATCAGCAGTGTACGTGGACCTATAATCGACAGTATATTACGTCTTGGCTTAGTTAGGACACATATTATGAGTTTGATTATTTCCACGCGTTGACTCTATTCCGTCGGCTAGTTTGTAGACAATGCAGCTCATCCGAGCGCGGGGAACCGTGGCCACGTAATAAGCCATTGTTCGTCGACCGATAAACTGCCAATAAATAATCAATTAACGCTTATCTGTAATTGGGCCACCCATCGCGGAACGAGTTTATAGTACGTATCCTCTGATCATTCGTTTAATCGCGATTATTAGCCAGCCAGCCAGAAAAACAACGTGTCGCCTCGATTGACAGCTCGAAGGAATTGAATTAAATCGAGGATCTCGTCCGAAGATCCTGCAGTACGCGTTCAGGGTGACGGAAGCGCATATACAGGGTGTCTCGTTAATAACATTAAGTTTCCTATTTATAATCCATCTATAATTTTACATATACGTGTATAATAATTTTTATTATTGTTATATTATATATTGTTTGTTTTATAAAACGTTGTTCTCGACACATCTCATACGCATACGCACATATACGCATACATTTCTTACATACACCTACATATATCTTATAGTATATTGTTAGATTACCTATAAATAATTAATTTTGGATGAAACCAGTGTAATTATTAGAAATAAAGGGGTGGTGCAGGCACGGTCGGGTTCTCATGGGATACCCTGTATACTTGTGCGTGTACACAGCTACAAATTATGCTGCGAATTATATCATGGTAATCGCGAGGTTGAATTTCTGTCAGCCGGTCGCTGCGCATCCTACGGTTGATTTATGCGCTAATTAGTAACAACCGGATTATTTATTGGCCGAAGGCGGTGCAATGTCTCCGCTCACCTTACCCAGAATAATCATCAGCGGTCGGGGATAATTAGCTGGAACGTGTCCTGGCTTGTTTATGGGAACGGAACGCACGCGAATCAACACCGTATCCTTTATTCGCGGTGCGATACTGCCGTTGCGTTGTTTTCGTTAAACGTCCGCGTCGTTAAGTTTCGTATACGTAGAGAAATATAAACTATAAACATGCAAATCTTCAGGAAGGATTGCAGTTTTTTATCGGAAACATGTGAACCAGTATTTCTTTTTTAAATGTTCTTATTTTTCTAAATTTATTATAAGCCAAACTAATTAAAGTTGCTTTTTGTTGCAGGTGAGTACATATGGAGTTCTTATCTACAGTAATTTAACGCAGATTTATGGGTGAGCATGAGTTCTTATAATGAATGTTAGATACATACAAATGTAAAACTCATTTCATTATAAAATCATCTGTCATCTTTGACGCGTTCGTTATATTTTCTAGAGGTACAGTCTTTGTATAAATCTATAAAATTCGAAGTCTAATATTAAAACACAAAATAATAAGTACATTACCAATAGTTTTTTAACAGCTTATGAAAAAACATTTATTAAGATGTTCCTTTGTATGTTAAACAGTAAAAATCATGAGGTAAAAATATTTATTATGAACCACCGTCTCAATTATGATCACTTTTTGAAACAGTATCATATATGATAAAATAAAAGACATAGCTGTAACATATATGAAGTATACAGGGTGTCATGTAAGTGGTGATACAAACGGATAGGAGCTGATTCGATGTTAAAAAATAAGTTGAAAATGTAGAATAAATTTTTTATATTTGAGATTCTGTTTTCAAGAAAATTGATTTTAATATTTAGTATCGAGTTGAGACTTGGTCGAGTGTACCGAGAAGATTTTTAAGGTCGATTTTCTTTTTTGATTATTTGATTAATTGTGAGTTTCCAATCTGAGGACCTGTCTCTATTTCTCTGTATGATTTATCAAACAGTAATTCATACAGTGTTTCATCTCTTGATCGATACAATAAATGATACAATGGTCAATGCAATAATTGATATGACATTGTACGAAAACAGTATTTCATATTAAGTGCTTTTACACACGTAATACTAGTATTAGCTATGTACATAAAAGAATGCAGACAAATTGACAACATTTGTGCGAGGTTAACGATTTGTAGTCTGGTAATTAAGTTCCGTTAATAATGTCTACTGTTAAGAGTAATTATAAGCTGTTCTGTGGAATTACAGCAACGTTGATGAGGGAGAGGGTTAAGGAAAGAGAAAAGGGGATGGCGCAGGTCGCTCGATACTGACCACCTCACACCTACGAGGTGTGTCTCTCCGTCCCTTCCTGCTTCTTCTCCGTCCCGCGTTATTCTCTGCGTCATGTCGCCACTTTTTTGCTTTTTGTTTGCATTATTTTTCGTCCTACAGTATCCAACGAAGATCGCGGTAAAAATATCTGAAACGGGTTTCTTCTCATTCTCTGCTCACTTTCCTCTTCGTTTTCGATTCTTACCAATCGAGTTTTATTATTAGATTGGTTTATGTATTTATAAAAATATTCACTGTACAGAAGGTGTGAACTCTGCGACGTATAGAAATTGTTGTAATTTATAATTTATGATATATTTTGTATTTGATCAAAGTTTTGATTATACTATTTTATATTATAATGATCATAATGATTACAATTTTATGTCATTTTGTACTCATACTAATACGTATTGAAATTGCTAAACACGCAAAAAATGCATCCATAATTGCAACTTGGAGTCCCTGAAAAATCTCAGAGGACGATCGTACTTAAATTGCAAAGTTAAGAGGCTCGATTGAGAATCACTGGCGGGAGCAGGCAGCTGAGCGGACAAAGAGCGAACGGTTATTGCAGAGCAGCACGGGCCCCTCTCTCTTTTCCGTTCCTCTCGTTCCATCTTTCTTCTCTCTGTCTCTAGTCGCTTGCATCTAAACCTATAAACTACCTGCACCTACACTTCCTGCCACTCGACAATGAAACCTTTTTTCAATCGCTTCTCGAGTACCCTCATTCTCTCTCTTTTTCTCGAACCGCAGTTTTCGAACTTCCGGAAAGTTTTTTAATTTATCCACGAGACTTATCGTGCCCCGTCAGTTCGTTTGCCAGCGGAACGCCTGTCGAAATCTCGAATCTTTGTTAGAACATAGGATCGAAGTAGAATACAGAAGTGAAACAAAGGGTGGAGTTTCTTTTTTTTAATGTTAACATTATATTGTCTTCAATTTTTTTATTTCAAACCAGCCATTTTTACCTCTTTCGATAGTACCAGTGTTCAGTTAAATCAGAATTTAGTCCGACTGAATCTGAAGTAAGTTGTACAGGTAAATAGGATTTGTAATTTGTAAAATACTTGGTGGAAGTAGAATCCAGAAATGAAGCACTCCCTAAGTTTTTGTTGTTTTAAATTAAATTCGAATTTTATTATATTAAGTCCGAAATAAAGACAAATAGAATTTGTAAAAAATGGAAAACTATGGCGTAGGTTGTAATTTCTTCAGCTCAGTTCGCTGGAGAAGAAAGGGTCGCTTCTTCCCTTTTTTCTACGAAAATACTTGCGCTGTTAACCGAGCGTACGATGAAAATAACCGCGTGTGTTTATTGAAAGATCGATCGGGGACCGCGCTCATAGGCGCGAATTAAACTCTTCGCTCGCTGGTTATCGAATTGCAGGTGCAGCAATTTGCGATCTTTGTCTGCGGAACGATACGCAAGACTAAATAAAGCCGATAAAACTATAGTAATCTTACGGTGACCATATATTTTTTATAAAAACATAAGACAGATCAAAAATGAATATAACAAGAACAAGAGAGTTACTTTTATGGGTAGAGAGTATAGAAATACTCATTTCATTTAATAATTGACATAATCATTTAAAATTCGTTTATGTAAATGATAAGTTGATTCTCTTTCAATTAAACTCTACTAAACGATTCCACTTATTATCTTTTCATTTTCTCCTATTCTATATTAGAATTTTAAATAATTGTCGCTAATCCAAAATCTGGTTTTAATAAAATAAATCGCAGTGTTTAATTGTTTAATTGATATGAATTGAATAATAGATCGTATATATAATAATGTATGGTCACCGTATGTAACCTTCGTAACGAACGAGACGCGGAATCGAAAGGGGGGGACAGTCTGCTGATCGGATAGAAAGTAACCGAGTAACCTACGAATTGCGTAACGCGAGTCCTCGTATTAATAATACGCTCGTCTGGATTGTCTTAGGTGGAATGCTGCTGATGAGTCGGCGAATTTCACCTAAACACCTTTCGTCATATATGATCCACGTGATAGTCTATGGCCTATACAGTACTTTAGAAGTTAAACTTTTCACAAACGTTTGTTTGGCAAAATGTTCTTAATTTCAACTTTTTTACTATCACCTGTGTAATGTTTTCGATCAAGTAATATCGTATTGGGTACATTTGAATTAAAATATCTCCTTGAGTGAATATTTTCTAGACGGATTCTGTCGCGTTGATTGTACGCATTAGTTGAACTATTTTCACCGTCTACGGTGAAAGTGTCGGTTATCCACGAGGAGAGGACAGGAAGCGTCAATTTCACTCGGAGATCGTGAACGACCCGGGTTACTTGTCCCCAGGTGTTATCACTGGGATCAGTCCGAACACTGCTTTCTCGTACCAATCTCTGCCTTTCCAATGGATTCTTCTATCCTTTCACTACCCCCTTACGTTCACAAAAATTCACTTGATCGTGTAATTCTTTTCTATCTTTAGTAGTAGTGCACGTAATATTGTTTTATCAAACGATGTTATTAATAGGCTGTGGTCTTTTGTACAAAATGGAAATTTTGTAGTATTAATTTAAAGAGATTTTTTTTATATTCTATGCATTTTGCTGTTGATATCGTATGTGCTTTTGTAAATTACGTTTGTTTTATAAATTAAGATCTGCTGTAATAAATGATAAGTGAAACAAATTCTTCGATTTAATTATTATTCTTTATTCATTTTACTGAAAATCGTAAAAGCTTGAATGAGAAATAGAAATCAAATTGTTCGACATTAAGATAAGAATTGAAGAACGTATTGCTCGGTTGACTGACTTCTATTGGCTAGAATTGTACGATCAGATATTTCAGACTTGCTACATTCTTAGGCTTCTCACTTCTACTTCGCGAAGTTGATGTTTATCCTTCCACTTTGCTTCCCTTCGCGTTATCACGTCCGTCGCGTCGTCGAATCAGACGGATACATTATACACTTCTGCGTTCTTCGAAGTCTTTCATTCGTACAAATAAGCCGACGACAGGCTCGGTTGAGACGGCTAATTCAAGGTGATGGACAGTCAATGAAGACGTCATCCTTAAAGCGGCTTCAAATTATTCGATTCCTACATTCTGTTTATTCTAGCGCATCATCCATCGAGGGGAAAATAAATACAGCAATCAAATCTGTATCATCTCATATTTCTAATCAATTGAACAATAACATAGTTCAATTTCTTTCTGTGTTATTTTCTTACGTCTCTAATCAAGTGAAGAGTAACATGACTTAAATGTAATCTTGGTCAAAAATCAAAATTTGTTAAGTCCATAATTTGATGATTTAATTAAAAATATTTCTTCTGCGATACATAGTAAATGTCTCAATTTTTGTTCACGTTACAATTTCTATTTACTGGCATTAAGATTGCATATAAACAAGGCAGTGAATGGAAATTGTGATGTGAACAAAAATTGAGACATTTACTATAAGTGGAAAGAACGTTCATACCAATTGTCTAAGATAATTTTTTCTTCGAAGAAATTTAAATTCATTATAGAAAACTTATTACAAACAGGAAGTAAACGGTGAACGTAAATGCGTCTGGTTTCCTTCTGTTAATTAAAAGAGATTGACAGTTTCATAAATTCAATTTCCATGTTCTAAAATATTGTAAAAGAAGACCCATTTTAAACCAGATATCCACATTGGACATTTCAATTTATGCATCAGTATTTCTACTATGTATAAATCATAATGAAAGGAAAGAATTTGGAACGAAACGTGTATAGATTCTGACACCGCAATCCCTGTATTGCAATTTTCTGTCCAATTATACATTTGTACTGTTCGACACGAGTAAATAGATAAGCCGAGTAAGCGTAGGCAACGAAAACGGTGGACGATCGATGCTGACGAAAGATACGAGACAGAACGTTACTCCGTGTAATCGATATACATAGTCCAAACCGGTAGCGTAAGTTACATTAGCGGTACAAACGATGAAAACTATTTAGCGTCGTATGCTCGATCCGCAAACTTTAAAAAAACGACCCTCGCATTCCTCCGTGATATAACATTGCTGTAATTCCGTTTCTTGTAGAGAATG